AGCATACCACTGATGGGATGGAGTACGGAGTCACACTGGAAGCAAACGATGTTTTCCCGGGGAAGGGATCTCCGTGGGAGTAAGATGGTTCAAACAGTCCATAGGAAGATCACAGCCATTCTTGGCGAGCACATCGACTGTCTCATTGCCATGTATCCCGACATGCGATGGAATCCAATTGGAGACTTGTGGTTGTCTTCAGGCCTATCTCAGATAGAAGCTTCGTAATCTGGCCAGGAATATCCAATATTTCCGGCCAGTTCTTGAAATACTGAATAGCACTCATACTATCGGTCAATATCCAAATGCAATTATTATCCGTTGTCTGGGCAGTTCCAATAGCTATGATCTCAGTTCTAAAAACTGAGCAATTGTTAGGGTTTCGGATATTGATCCTGATTTCACTATCATTGCTGTTGACAAAAACACCACTCCCGGTTCTACCGTCTTCCAACCTGCTACCGTCAGTGTAGATGACCAAGGCTCCAGAAGGGATACTATTGACAACCTCAAGGGCCAACTGTTACAACAGGTCTAGATGGACCAACTGTTTCAACAGGTCTGGATGGTCCACCTGTTTATTGGCTTGAGATCTCAGATTGTCATTAAAACTGATGCCCCAAAGGGTCACCGCAGGAGGCAAACAATTTAGAGTGGTTGAAGGAACGACCTCAAATTCAATAAATCCCTCCTTCTTAACATATTCCAATGGGGTGTCTTTTTTCAAACGCTGACTACCTCTCCAATTCAAGATGTATGCAGCTGTTCTGTTAGAATCACCAAGGCTCATTAGTTTATTAAAATATTTAAAGGAACCAATCCTAAATCTCATAGCCAGAGGCACAATATCTGCTTCATATAGTGCCACTGCATAAAGTGCCATAGTACACTGCTGTCTATAAGATATTAATAAGTGTAGCTAAAGAAGTATACAAAAAAAATTTTTTGATTGTTTTGAAGATTTTAAATTTGAAGAAATATTTTGGTCCGAATTGTCATGCTTCGTGAGAATCACCCNTATATATATAAATAAAGTGGTTATTTTATACTATAGTTTTAGTAATAGTTTAATTAGTTTAGTACTGTAGTCTTAGTAGTTTTAGTAATTTTTAAAAGAAAGCTCAAAAGGATTAAGGGTTTTCTAAAAATATTATTTTGCATTTTTACAAAACAAAATTTTTTAACAAATGGTAATACCCCAAAGTAATGGTTCAGTTTGTTGATTGGAATATAATAGCTTTTTAAAAGTTTCTAGAAAAAATGAAACGTTTTTTAAATATTAATTCATTATATCTATCTATATAACCATCATCAATTTTTTTCTTGAATAACTGCATTATTTAAAGATAATAGTTCAAAAGACACATACCTAGTTAAAAAATTTGAGTTCATTAGTTTCTATTATTTGTATTTTGACCCGATTCCGAAGAAGTTGAATTTTAAGACTAAACCTTTTTCATTCACTTATGTTTTTCCCAAAAACAATGCCCTATCTTTTTTATTGTCATTCGGTACTCTACTAATAAAGAAATGAGAACTAGAAAGTTGTTTGTACTAACGTTTTCAACCTGAAATATTACCTTTCTCATCACTTAGTTTTTTATTTTTCATCCTAATGAAGAGGATATTGAAGAATAGTGCAAAATATTCATCAACAGGAAAAACAAATCACTTGATTTTTTAAGTTATTTTGAAAACAAAAGTTGAAAAAATATACAGTGCCGAATTTGTTCAGAGAAAATATCAGCATGTAGCTCCCATTGATGGAAAAAGAAAACTAAAAAGTTGTATTTTTAAGGTTTATTTACATAATTTTATCTCTTTTATGAACGGGCATAGGAAGTGCTACCATTATTTTGTGCGAAATATAGTGTCGACAACAATTCGCGATTGCAACGCTTGAGTACGCCCTCTCTAGCGGAAGCCTAAAAATATCAGGCACTTAGTTCCATCATTATCATGGGCAAAGTCTGACGCCATTTTCTTAGCAGCAAATAAGAAGCAAAATGTCCATAAGGAAAAGACAGAAGAACTAGAAGAACGACCCAAAACATCGGTCAATCTTTCTGAAACAGAAAGAGCTCAACATTTGAAGAATTTCTCGGTAGTTTTTATCTTTCCTATTATCAACAACGTAACTTCCGATTTCATGATCGCTTGCTTTAGAGATGTGTGTATTACGGTAAATTAAATTTTTTTTTGTTTTTAATTGATTACATAACTGAAGTGAAGTCAACATTTCTTACTTCATTCCAATAAATAAATGTGATTTCAGAATGGAAGGAACTGTAATAGTTATAGAATATTCTTCTTCTTTATAGAATAGTGTATATTTCTGTATCTATATAATTCGAAAAACAACAGTAAGGAATCATCCGAATAACTTGAAATAGTGTCATTTGTCTTGACTATTAATAAATTTTTATCGTTTTCTTGGTAAGTATATTTTAATTTTGAATGATAAATTTCAACTGGAATTCAGTTTCTGTTTTCAAGTCACGTATTGAAATTTATATCGAGCTCTTGCAATTATAAAATTTTATTATGTGGTGTGTCATCTTAAAGTAATAAGGGGATAATCTATGTATATATTATTTGAGAATAAAGTTTTAAAATGAAGAATATATCATTTTAGAATTCTCCGGATTTTATTTGTTATCCGGATTTGAAAAGTTTTTATTTGTAATTAATTTGTTTTGTTATTTGGTAATAATTTTCTATAGAACGGTTTTTTACGTCCAATTATGAATAAAAAAAACATGAAAGCTTTTTATTTTAATGTGAGGAAATTTTAGAATAGTTTTTTGTTTCGCAAGTATTCTTTATTTTATTTTAGCTTTTTAGTTTCTAAATAATAATTTTTATTGAAACTTTTTGATAAAAATTATCAGAATTTTTTTTTTTTGCAGAATCAAATGATATAAAATTATGAGCTTATACTTTTTGCTTATTTTAATATTTGAAGTAATATAATTCTCAAAGCTATGGAATGTAAAGTTTAAATAGACCTTTCATGTTACATCATTAAATTTAGTAGAACGATTTCTCAGGTTTTAACTCTAAGAAGAAGATACGTATTTTTTTCCTGCTTATTTACAAATATTTTTCGATGTGTTTTGGATGTTTCTTCTCTCTAAAAAAAAAAAAAAAAGATGCCATTTTGTTTCCACTTGCATAAAAAAGAATATCAAACAGTTTTCTTTTTTAAATTTAATAAGCCACAATAAAGAAGAAACATTACAATGCCACACGCTACATTAAAGACGTCTTCAGAGTAACTGAATGACTGTTCATATGGAAATCGCAGGAATTCGTCGCATACAACAACGCCCCTATATTTCGTTGTGATCGCGATGTTTTTAAAAATTTTTTTTTTTTTATCGGTTTAGTAATTATAGGATAAGAGTAGCAGATTTCTAATAGTGGTAGTTCGACTAAGGATTGTTGATTGAAAGTAAACAATCGACGGCGAAATCACGCGAATCGGACTGTTCACGAAAGGTTTACTAAATGCGTGTTTTTTTATTTTGAGATACAGTTATTGTAATAAGTAATATCGTATTAAAAAAAATCAAAATCAAGATAATATTTTTAAAAACCACGTTTTTGTAGTGCACAATAATAATTAAAAAAAAATTGAAAAACGAAAAACGTGGGGGGCATGGAATACATAACAGTAACAGTATGTGCGCTCATGAGAATATGTGTATGTATATCTGTAATTGTATCTGAATGTGGATGTGTGTGTGGTTGTGCATGTGTATGAGTAAGAAAATGTGTATACGTATGTGTATATGTACTGTTATGTACTTCATGCTCCCCACGTTTTTAGTTTTTCAAATTTTTGTTTTTTAATTATTACTCTCCACTACAAAAACGTGGTTTTTAAAAATATTATTTTTATTTTTCTTTAATACTCACTTCTAAAATCTCAATTTTTTCACTCACTATACACAAAACTTCTCAACTGACATGTGACACTCATTTGAAATAATCGAATCGACAACAAAAGACAATCGCGAAAATATTAATTTTTTCTTAATTTTACTTTTTTCTCTTTATTTTCATGCATTGTCATCCAATTCTGAACTATGTGCCCTCAGTTAGTTAAGGGAAAACCCGAAATATTAATTTATGCGTGATTGAATCGAAAAATAGAATAAGAAGCAGGGTGTGAATAATAAAGTAGGAGAAAACTATTAAATTAGTTATCATAATGTATTTTACTTAAATTATCTCTTCTAAAGTTTTACCATCTGCCTGTTACATTAAATCTCGGACTCAGATGGGTTTCAGAATATATGAAAAAAAAAGAAAAATCCAATCAATCTCGAGCTTGGTTTTTATTGTGTTCGGGCAGGGTTTGGCTCGGACCCGAAAAAGTGAATCCAAACTCAACTTTGACCACTTGGATCAGTCTGCGTAGGGACCGAGGGTGTGCGGTATTGGTCCTCGTTAAACTGTGCTACCGTAAAGTGCTCGACTTCGCCCGCAGGTTGTCGGGCTACCGAAGAGGGGCTGCCATCCCCACCGCAGAGGATCAAAATTGTGATGGCCAGTCTTCGGATCATCCTCCGGGATGTTTCCCAGACCGTCGCCAATAGCCCATTGTGCAGCTCTAGTGCGACGTAAATTAACAACAACAACAACCACCAAACTCAACTTTAATGCCTCAACATTTTTTTCTGTTACTCATCTTTTGAGCCTTTAAAAAGCCCATTCGAGCTTGCACTCTAGAAATAATTTTATTTAATATTTTATTAATTTTATTTAAGATTTTAAGCGACACTCAGATACATGCACTTAAAACAGACAATATTTAAGGGCAAATGATAAATATAAATGAATTCGATAAATACTTTACTGTATTTTTAAAAAAAAAAGAATAGTAGTCAAATTTTGTCTTCTTATCTCATTCTGCGTTTATAATAATCAGTTCGAAACAATCACATCGATAGCATTTGTTATCGAAAATACTTTTGCCTTACAATTCCCGATAAGCGAATGTAGGTTTAGTTTGCTGGAAGATAAAGGCAGTTTCACATTCAAACCTTCTAAGGAAGCAAAAAGATCATAAAAACGCATTTATTGAATTTATTATCATAAAATAAATATGAAATTAACATAAATTCTTCATCGAGTCAATTAAAAAATTAAGCTAATATTCGGAATATAAAAGGAGATTCATAGGTGTGCAGGTAAGATATAATTTTTCTTTAAAGAAAATATTTTTTAAATTTTCCATTTCATTTCTGTGTTAACCAGATGTGACTATAAGACTTTCATAGCTCAAAATGTCGATTTAAAATCGATAAAATGTAAATTTAAAATCGATTTTGCTATTTGAAAAGTAAACTTAAACTAATAGGCTGATTCTATTGTATAGAATAAATGTAAATTTCTGGGAGGAATAACGACTTTCATGTATTGAAAGAACACTGCGAAAGCTTATTAAAACTTAGTACATTTTAATTTTGTACAAAAAGAAGGAGCATTGGAAACTTTATTATGCTTATTAATATTTATGTTTTCTTTTAGTATGAGCAGCGACGCCATGGTGCTGTCTGTAGTTTCGCCTTGTTCCTTGCGTCAGTGTGTAGTAGTTCTAGATTTGTGTTAGTCCGTTAATGTTCAATTGAAATAGTTTTCAGTTTTTAACCATTTTTTTTTGTCGGGGCGTTAACCTCGTCATACTGTGGTAGTGACACCTACTGGTAAAAATAAGCGCTACCGAACAACTACTACTTACACTTAAACCGGGGATTCCCCGTAATATGTAAACACTTTAGGCCTGTTTACACGGTCCAAGTTCTTGAATCCGAGAAATTCGAGGGATTTCTCTGTCCAAGAAATTGGATGATTCGTCGACACTATCCAAGTTCTTGAATGTCGCTGATTCGTTGAAAGAAAAACTTGCGCATGCGCATTGTTCATATTTAACATTATATTAATAATGCTTATATAAGTTTAAAATTACTAAATAAATTCAAATAAAATCATAATAACACAAATAAACCGCAACAGATCAATTTATTTGAACTAAAATATATGAAAACAGACAACACAATGACATAATTTGCTGCCTGCTTGTTGACGTCACAAATCCTAAGACGCTTATTGGTTAAGGGAGAAAAAACTTGGACGGAAAGTATAACATGCTCTACTATCGTCCAAGAGGTTGGACCAAGTACTTGGATGATTGTTTACACGATCCAAGCTCAAAGCAAAACAAGTTTTCATCAATATCAATCAATCTCTGTCCAGGAAATTGGATCGTCTAAACAGGCCTTTTAGTGAGCGATTTAACTGGGAGAAATAAGGAAATAAATACGAAAGTATTGTCTTCTTTTTGTCGTTTCAAATAATAATATTACATTAAATATTGTAAACCGATAGATAGTTCTTCGAATATTGGATGTTTTAATACAGTTTGTTTTCTAGAAAGTCGTTCCTCCCAGCCGAGCCTAGAAGGAAAATCAATACTGAGGCGTTCTTTTTGCCCATTCTTTTAAAAATAAGCCAAAAACCTTCTAAACACTGACTTTTTATTTTATTTTTACTGCAAAAGGTTCGTTTCTTAAACATTTATTTATTGAAAAATTCAATAAATAAAAAACCCTACTAGAACACATTTTTTGAACCACAATAGATTTTCCATTAAATCTTGTCCAAGGTATCGTGATCTGTCGCACCAACTTCAATCGCCAAGGTACCAAATGGACTTGCAAATTCAAAAGAAAAAAAAACATGTAGATGTTTGACCGGAGGTGGCTAGTTAGGCACTTTCTGTGATGTTTTTTTTTAAAAGTTTCTCACTGGCCACTGCCCGGAAGTTTGTAAGACTTGGCTATTATTCTGCCACAGATCACGATACGGAAATCTCCCCGTAAGCAACCCTTTCTACTTCCTGGAAAAATTAGAATTTATGAGAAATTGTAAATATTATTTAAGAAATTCCTATCAGAATCAAACACTTTCTTTCTTTCTTCTGAATGTGTTCTTAGAGGGGAGGGGAAAGAATATCAAATTTCAAACTTATTGATGTACAAAATACTGTGCTTTGAGTTTACGCGTTTAACTGTTCTAATATAAAAATAGTTGGTGATCAAATTCAGTTATTGTTTAATATTATATACTTTGGGTAAATTTTAACGGTGGTAAGTGAGTGACCGTTCAAAACTCTAAGGGTCATATTCTGTGAGGAAGCACCCTGTCCATTTTATTCCCCTAGGGAGAACTCTCTCTCTCTTTTATATATATATATATATATATGACAGGATTTGTNTATATATATATATATAGAGAGAGAGAGAGAGAGAGAGAGGAGTTTACTTATTCTTTTTTTAAACTAATCAGCAATGTCTATTTTATCTCGGAAAGGAAGCAGATTAATATATATGCTAAAATAATAAAAGAAATCTTGATAGTTACAGATATTTCATTTTTCTTCGAAAAAATGCTATAATAAAATGTCTTTCGTACCAGTTTTTCTTCTTTTCCGTCTTGCTATATAAGGGCTTTCAACCATGTCATTTCAGTCATGGTCGAGTGTTGTTGAGCCGCGCAGATAGCAGTTGGAAGGCAAAAATATTTTATTAAGCTTCATACGGTATAATCAAAACATTTTCTATCCATGGCGAAGCTCAAATTTGCATTTTAAAACTATGTGCTTAAGTTTTTATTCTAGGGAAAGTAGCAAATGAATTTCGCTCTATTTTATTATATTTTAGGGAAAAAGGAAAACGTAAGCAATTACAATTGGCAGTGCTTATAGCTTAAATCGTACAAAATAATTTTAAAAATATATATGTATAATGTATGAATTCAGAGCAAATGTTATACCAATAAAGTTTCAATTATTTTTCAGTACAATTTGCAGTTAGAAGAGAAGCATCTTATAAAAATATGGCGGAACTCCAACATGGATTTACTTGCTACTGGATTATAAAAAATTTTTGTATTGACGAAAATGTTCCAGAGTGTAAGATTAAAAGCCAAATATTCGATGTTCCGATGTTAATAGATTCAACATGGTATTTAGAATTAGATCATCGGGAGTCTAAACCTTTAGCATTAGGCCTTCATAAAGTTGGACCGGCCAGTAAAAGTAACATCAATTTAGAAATGTCAATTTTAATGACGGAAAGGGAGTGGATATCAGTTGTAAAAGGTCTTTGCCAAGGAATGAGTCCTCGGGCACCACCTAGAGGCGCTCCTTATCTGATAAAATGGCATGAGCACACTCCAATGAAAAGATATTTGCTAGATGGAAAGTTAACGGTTAGTTGTCACATGTCTAATGAGGAGACTAGAAATCGATATGAGCAATGTGTTATGACATCTCGAATGATGTCTAACTGTACAATTATACATGAATCATTACAAAAGTTCACATCTTTGAAACCATATGATTTATTAAACATGCCGTTGTTGCCACTGCACCCTACCATTAGTTTAATGAGCACTAAATGTACCCAAACAGAAGACGACAATGTATTTAATGACTTAGAAGACATACTGAAACTTTTCAGAGAGAAAAAGTTTCGTTACGTCACTCTGCGAACAGCTTCGAAAGATTTCGCTGTGCAGAAAGCTCTTCTCTGCGCCAGGTCTCCCGTATTTAATGCCATGTTCCAAGGAAATATGATGGAAGATCAGAGCAATATCGTCGACATAAAGGACATAGATTGTAACACTTTGTTCTTACTGGTGCAATTTTTGCACTTAGAACCGATTGGCGATCTTGCGTGGGATGCCGCCATTAAACTTTACTATGCAGCAGATAAATACCAGATTGATCTGCTAAAGAAGGAATGCCTATATTTTTTGAGAAGAGATTTATCAGACAAAAACATCTGTGATGCCTTTGTTTTCGCTGATGCCCACCAAGACGAAGAGCTTCAGAAAAGTGCCCAGGAATATTTCTGCAAAAATTCCAGAACTATTTTACGCTCAACTGAATGGGCAGATTTGCTATACAATCGAGCTGATTTAGCCTCTGATATTTTGTACAAACTTGCAGAAAATCTTTAATTAAGTTTAAAAAGTTTTAGTGTATGGAAACATTTTAGTTTTTAAATATTAAAATCGAATAATATTTGTAATAAATTTCCTATATATTCCCCTAGGTGCCTGCCAAAATACTTATATTGAAAATTACATTTCTACAGATCATGGTTTGTTAATTTACAACGTATCAGCACTGTCCCACATCAGCTTTCAGAGTTTTTATCACTGAAAATAAAAAAAAGAATTTGATAATTTTATGTTGGTTTAGCTTTATTTTGAAAGATAAAGGCATCCCTAAGATAATAAATGCAGAAACGCAATTACGAAATTAGTTAGTTGGAAGAAAAAAACACTTTCAAATGCTAGAATAATACGAGGGAATTAATAAAATGTCTGTTTAACTTCATCTTTTTGGATCTTTTTGTAAGTTATAGATTTTGCTTTAGCTTATGTCAAGTTATGTTCCATAGTTTTAATCTTAGCACTTCATATCAATAATAAATTTTGCGCCACTACGATGACATCAATGGGATTATTTTGGCAATAATATTTTTTGAAACATATCAATTCAGAGAAACCAGCTTGGTCCGCTTTGTGTAAATAATTCAAAGTTCATATAAAATTCTAAGAACGGATGATTTATAGTTTAGGCAATCTGATTTAAAATCACTTTTTTCCACCATCGCATGTAAATAATTAAAAAATCCTATAAATCGCTATTTTTTTCTGTAATCTTGGGGACCTCCCTAGCCGAATCGCACAGGTCTATTGTACACTCTGTAAGATGGTGGTAGCTGATTCGAATCCCTCTGCAACCCTGGTTGCATCTTTGCAATATCCTTCTTTAATATATGCTTTTTTTACTCCTTCAACTTGACAAGGGCTTATAAGCCGTCTTTGTCATTGTGCAAACAAGTATGTGTAACAAGTGGCTGGGTGGGGCAGTTGGTTTGTCGTCGCCCTTCAAAGCCCAAGTCTGTGGGTTCGATCCCCGGCCCAGACATCGGATTTTCGGGATGCAGAAAATCCTCAGTGGCCATGTTGTATGATTATGCGCCATGTAAAAGATCACTAGAGTGCCTTATTAGCTCTTGGCATTTCCGGCAAAATTATCTTTAGCATCCAAATAGAGTCTCGGTGCTGCCATCTAGTGTGGCAGAAACTTACGTCCAAATTAACATGGCTAACGGTATCTCACCCATTGTGGTGGTCCTGAACAAGTGGATACCATTTCTGGAGAACGCACTAGGTCTGCTCACCGGGAAGACTGATTATGCAGCTCATAGGAAATAAAAAAAGTATGTGTAATAATAATTAAATTCAGAACTCTAGTGGTGAGATTTATGAAATGTGTTTGTTTTAAAAAAATGGCGAGTGGGACTAGTCGTGAATATATTTCGAATAATTACAAAGTTGTGACAAAAGTATGTTGCTATCAGTCTTTTTCAGAAAAAGATAATGCATTACTAATCACCACATGTAGCCAACTACTATGCTTTTTGCAAAATATTTTATAGAGTGTTAGGCAGTAGACAGAATTTTTGGTGTAATTTTGCCACTATTCCTGAAGCTTCACAGGAGAACTGGATCGAAATGACTTTTCATAAGAAGTTTTGAATCATTTACATGTAATGGTGCGAAAAATCAAACATACAAAACAATGAATCATGTATTTAAGCAAACTTAACCACGGGAAGAATTTTCCCCCAAAAGAGCAGAAAGTTGGAAGGCCTAGGCAATGTTGATTTAATAACTAATCGACCAAATAAAAAAAAACAATCATCTTTAAAAAATTTTTTAAAAATTTTATGAACATCGTTGAACAGTCGACCCAATTTTCGGGTTTATGACTACTAATATTCAACACCGTAACGTTGTAATTTTAAGCCCAATCTAGAAGACAAGATGATGGAACTAAACTGCATTTGCGTTGCATGGTGAGGAAAACTACAAAAACCTCCCACGGTTAGCCTGGCAGCAAGGGGAATCTAACCCATGATCTGTCTACCACTGATAATATTTCACGTTAGCACTGTGGTCGGTGCAAGCCGGATGCGGAATTCGTATTGACCAGACATCGCTGGGATTCGAACCCGGTGCACCTCATGCTGTTTATCAATTGAGTATCAGCAATCGTTTTTAGTACACAATTTATTATTTTACTTCAATTAGTTGGGGATAATTCCATTTCGCGATCTGTCACGCCGACTACAATCGTCAAGGTGCCAAATAGATTTTAAACTTGCAAATTTAAAAAAACAACAACATGTAGATGTTTGCCAGGGAGTAGCTACGAGTTGGCCCCTTTCTGTGAAGTTTTTCATTTAGCTTCTAGCCGACCGCTGCCTGGAAGCTGATAGCACTCGGCGATTATTCTGCCACAGATCACGATACGGAAATTTCTTCAATTGGCAACTAAAATTAATTATCCCCTTAGGAAAATTTTCCATGAGTTTGCCATAAAAAATTAACATAGGATATTCCTATGGGGTTTTGCCTAAGTAAAATTTGTCCATAAACGTATGACAAAATTTCGCCATATGGGTGTGGCAAAGTTTTGCCATGAGCGTACATGGGAAATAATAATTGCCATACGTATATGGTAAAATTTGATCATAGGCTAAACCCCATAGGAATATTTTATGGTAATTTTTATATATATTTTTACCATAATAGTATGGTTTTTTTAATTATGGTTTATAAATTACTGTTTATTAATCATGATTTATAAATTTTTCACAGACAACAATGAACAAGAGTCATGGATCCCTTTTCAAAATGCTACAAGAATAATTATAATAAGATAAATTAAGGTAATAGATTATGCTTGTGGCGGGGCAAACGAAACTACCACTACGGAAATTAAACATCAATTCACTAGTATATAAGACATGCTAACTTGATTCAATCATGAGGTACCTTTTGATAGATGAAGGTTGCCATGGTGACTTATGGACGTGATATGATCACACAAATCTTGTTAGTAACGCCCACTTCGATCTGGCAACGCCTATTTCGATGGATGGTCCACATTGAACTGTTGACTTGTTACTTGTGACTGCGACATTATCCACCTCCTCACGCTATTGCTACTCAGTCTCGTCTCGATCATACACAACGTCAGCCTGTATACACTCGACTCCTAAATGCAACACAGGAGCGACTACGACCGTGAAGTTAATACACCTCTAACACTCAGCACACAAAAAAACCGATTACCTTAATCCAGCTCTCCCGGTCTTTCACAAGTACAGCAACTAGTGATATCCGTTCATCGAATTCTATTCCTAATAAAATTCTGGTGGGGGAGTATTGTGGCGTAACTACCACTACGAAAATTAAACATCAATTCACTAGTATATAAGACATGCTAACTTGATTCAATCATGAGTTACCTTTTGATAGATGAAGGTAGGCATGGTCGATAACTCCGCCCCCAACATGCTATTAAATATATGAGAAAAGACAACAATTATATAAGAACTCTTACCGGACAAAACCCGGATAATTTAAATCTCATACCGAAAAAAATTAATCAGAAAACAATCAAGACTATATAAACAAAAAAAAAAAAAAAACATGGAATGCACTTACTGATTTTGTTGGTGCTCTTCTGTTCATTAATATAAAATCAAATAACATCAAAGATTGAACACATACCGTAGAAAGGCGCACAATCTAACATTTGATGTTAACGAAATTTACTCAACATTATTGTTGCCGCGAGAGTTAATTTGATTCCAGATTATCAAGTTGTTTATGAAATAGACTAAAGTTCAAAAATCTAGAAAAATGCATTTGAAACTATTAGGATATTGATTCATTTCAAGTATTTTAAAAATTGATTTAGTCAGATATTCGAAAAAATAATAATAAAATGACTGAGTACAAAAATTCAAGGAAAAAAAAAAACCTTTTGGCGAAATAATGCCTTACCGTCGACCTGTCAGCATTGGAAATTTTTGAAGAAAACTAAAAACATAAAATGTATTTTTTAACGTTTACATTCAATGTTCAATTTCATTAACTCAAAATATTTGGTTTCCAAATTTTAATTTTAAAGTTAAGGAAGATAACTTCATAATTACAATATTGATGATACGGTCCTCTAACATTTTTAAGGACTGCATGAACCTTTTTAAAATATTAAAATACAAAAGATTTATTTCTACGAGCATAAAGTTCTATTCAAAATCCTAATAAATACCCAAATGTAACACAGCATAATTTGATCATGAAAACTTCACTGACTTTAAAAAAAACATGAAGATGAAAATAAACATCAACATGTTTCAAGTGTTCAAAAATAAGCAACCATTCTCAAGACTCGACATGAGAGAATGACTTGAGACATCTATTTTTGAACGCTCAAAACAAGTCTACTTTTATTGTCATCTTCATATTTTTTGAAGTCAATAAAATTTTTATCTTTTCGCCTTAGTTTCTTGGGACTATTTATTTAGTAACACAGTATATTAAATTACTTCACGCAACATTAAAATAAGTTTTACTTAAGATAATGGCATACGCTCTTAGATTGAAAAAATAATAATTACTCACAACTTTTAAAAAAAATCAAAATAAAAAGTAATATTTTTAAAAACCACGTTTTTGTAGTGGTGAATAATAATTAAAAAACAAAAATTTGAGAAACAAAAAACTAGGGGAGCATGAAATACATAACAGTAATGTTATATTAGTGTGTGTATGTTTGCTCGTGAGAGTATGTGTATGTATACCTGTAATTGTAATTACATCTGAATGTGTACGTGTATGTGGAATATGTTTGTGTATATGCATGTGTATGAGGATGTATATGTGGATGTGTATGTGGCTGTGCGTGTGTATAAGTAAGAAAATGTGTATATGTACTGTTATATATTTCATGCGCACCACGTTTTTCATTTTTCAAATTTTTGCTTTTTAATTATTATTCTCCACTGCAAAAACGTGGTTTTAAAAAATATTACTTTTTATTTTGATTTTTTTTTGTACTCACTTCCAAAATCTCAATTTTTTCACTCACTGAACACAAAACTTTTCAACTGTCATGTGACACTAATTTGAAATAATCGAATCGACAACGAAAGACAATCGCGAAAATATTAATTTTTATTT